TTAACAGACACCCAGACACCAGACAACCTCGGAGTGTTTTTGGATAGCTCCCCTAAATTAGAGAAACAAGTGTCCTCAGTGGTAAAAAACAGCTTTTACCAGTTATGTTTGATATCAAAGGCAAAGCCCTATCTTCCTTTAAAAGTACTTGAAAAACGTATTCATGCATTTATCACCTCTAGACTGGACCGTAACTCTCTATACCTGGGCCTCAATCAGTCTTCCCTCAACCGTTTGCAGCCGCTGCACGCCTTCTAACAGGTACTAGAAAGTATGATCACATCACCCCAGCTCTAGCTAACTTACACTGGATCCCTGTCAAATACTGTATAGATTTTAAAATTCTCTTGCTTACTTTAAAATTTTAAACAATTTGGCACCCAGTTATCTGACTGAACTCCTCCGCTTGTACAACCCCAGGAGAGCACTAAGATCATCTTACCAGATGCTCTTAGAACAACCTAGATCCCGGCTGAAGTCCAGAGGTGATCGGGACTTTGCAATTGCAGCACCTAGACTCTGGAATAACCTCCCCGCACTTCTGAGTCTATCCATTCTTTTAAAACGCACTTTTTACTTTGGCTTTTGAATCCAATTAGTTTATCTATCATCAGGCCTGTTACATGTCTGTCACCTTTGATGTTTGTTGGTGTGTCTGTTGTTGGTTTGTTACATTTTTCCCGTGCATTGCCTTTTAATGTCTCGCTGATTTTTGCTGATTGTTAAGCACTTTGATCAAGCCTGTTGTTGTAAAATGTGCTATATAAATAAGTAAACCTTAAACCTTAATTCTTGACACTTAACGTCACATTCTTGATCTCAGCAGCACATTCAAATGAGACCTGGCTACATAGATAAATCTTCCAAAAATACACTATGCAAATATAAGCTGTAACTTGTGGCATTTACCGAAAACCCCATGTATCTCTACGATGAACATCACTGTGCTTTCATCCATCCATATTTATCACGTCTACTTAGGAAGCCGTAGCACTGGTATAGTCTGTGCTATGTCTTGGTATAAAGATGCTCACTGCTGACTCTCATAATGACTGGCATTTACGCTTTAAATGATCAGACTGAAACCCGTTTGTTTCACATGCTTGATTAACCCAAGCATATAATTTTTCTAGCTCCAAATCAAAACTCTCTAACTCTACAATGGTTGCTGTTAGCCAAACAAAAAAACAAAAAAACAACACATTAGCAATATCGCACTGTGTTCTTTTCTATGCAACAGTTGTCTTAATAAACTCTTTTTTTTTCTGATTTCCTTCCTCTTTTGCATTGTCTCTTTCCCACTAGAAAGCTGTAACACATATAGCACTGGCTGTTTTCATTCAGGAGTGCATGGCTGTGCCATGAATCTATAATGTAATCCCCCAACATGAAGGGACACACATCATTCATATGCTATAGTACACTGCAATTTTAACCCAAAATATGTTGGAAAGTTCATGCATGGGAATCTTAACACTGTATGAGGCAGAGTGAGTCATGGAGAGAGAGAGAGTGCGGTCTTTTGTTTGTGCACATATTTGTGTGTGTCTTGACATGCATTAGCATGTGTGTTGGAGCACAGGCATGTGTGTGTGTTTGCAGTTCTGTCCTTGCATCTACTCTTATAGGTGTGTGAGTGTGTATGTATGTGTGTGTGTGTGTTGACTGGCTCAGTTCATGTGCACATCGTGTGTGTATACAGTCTATGTATGTGTGGAGTTTTATAGAGAGGAACTGTGTGTGGGGGAGGAGAATGTGGAAGTGAATTATGCCTTTTTCAGAGGGGAGGGGTGCATATATGTATGTGTGTATTTGGGGGGATGGGCAACTCAAACACTGTATGTTCGCTAAGTATGTGTGGGCTGGTCTGTGCTGTGTGTGTTTGTGTGATGTGAGAGTATCAGGGATGTATAAAAATAAGAAAATGTATTTTATGATACCTGCTTGTGTGTGCAGTATGTTCGTGAGTGTTCTGGTATGAGCATAGACATGTTTCCTAAGAGTGTGTGTGTGTGTATTTGGACTGCACACAAATGCTTATATGTGGCTGTGGCATAATTATTCCATATAGGGTATAATTATGTGGGGTTCTGCACATACTTTTTGTGTGAGCAGTTTTTTTTATATTTGATGTGCATGTGTGACCATCTGTTTAAGTTCACTGTGTGTGAATCTGCAAGATGAATATATTGTGTGTGTATGTATTTTAGCGTAGGGGGAGAGCTTTTCTTTGTTTATGTGCAACTGTGTACACATGTGTAATTGCAGATACTGGCTATATGTTTTGTCATTAAATATCATGAAAACATGAAAGGAATCATTCCTCTTTCGTTTATATTGAATGGTTTCTTTCTTTCACTCTCAAACACACAGCCTGCTTCCTTGTTTCTTTTACAATATCCCTACCCTATGATTATCTTGTTTCATCTCCATGATTTACATGACTTTTGAATTTGACACTATTTATACTTTGCCCAAACCTAAATTAAGGGCTACACTATCAATTATCTGATTTCAAATGAGCACAGGAGACTATAAAAATAAGTCTTGTTTATATCCATACACAGACAATTTAAATGCATTACTTTTCTACCACCACATCTGAAATTAGAGACAACATTGCAGTTTTTCCATTTGCTGTTTTTAAATGAAAGTAAATGATTTTCACAGAGAGACAGACCATCACACTTTCTCACATCAACATCTATAATATGGTACATTTAGAATAACCACATAATAAACTTGCCCTTTGATGGACTGGAGACCTTTCCGGGAGGAGGGGGACCCCAACCCCAATGCAACCCCTGATCCCCCCCCCCCCCCCCTGCCTACCAAAGTTCACACTCATTTATTTGTTTTCCCGTCTACAACTAAACCTAACCCTGCCCCAGAGTACCTCCCAGACTGAAAATTAGTGTCATTATTTCTGCTTTTGAAGTCCTCCCCACCCCATTATTTTCTCTGTGGCAGCGTTTTGGGACTTCAATCCACCTTTTAGGAATGCTGTTTGGGACATCTGTAGACAAAACAGCAAACAAAAACTGTCACACCATACTGACCTGATAACAGACTGAAAAATGACGGCTGGGCTGAACTGTATTCTGATCTGTAATAAAGTAGATGCTGCATCAACAAAAAGAGTTTTAACCCAGTATCTGAACCTTTCCATCGATTTTCTGACAGTTTCATAGAATGTGCTATGATGCTGATCAAAAACAAAACAAATGAGCTAAAGGACAAACAGTCTCTGGCTCAGCTTCTCCAGACAGGTCCACCCACTGCTTTCCTTTCTTGTTTCTTTACATTCTTGTTTCTACAAGTGCATATTCTGGTGCATATTCATCGTGTGTAGTCAAAATTTGACATTGCACAGCTTGTACTTTGAAGAGAAAACCTTTGTCTGTTGAAGTGACATCAGTTTCCATTTACGTAAAGGCATTCTGACAGAGGAATAAAGAGAGATGGTGTACTCTGCCAACACCAGTTAGACTGCATTGCTCAAACTGAAAAATTAAAAATTAAGTGCAGTTATCACAGGCCCTTTAAACTCTGGTGGAAACATTACTTGAATGTCAGGAGAATGTATTTTAAAGGTTCCACATGCCACCTTAGTTCGATAGATTGATCTGCTGCCAGTTCAGGCTTTATTTCTGAACTAGCTCTCAGAAACTCTTTGGAGATCCAAGGAGAAATATGGACCACCAGATTGATGATCATGGCTCCACTGCTACCAGAGCCAGCTCAGACAAGAGAAATGAAAGTAAAATTTAGCTTACTTGTGTAGCATCAAAAGAAATGTGAAAGACGGTATCAGGCCTGGCTGGCCTAACCTGTTTTTTTGTACAGTGAACCTGTAGCCTGAAAATTTGCATTAGGCTACATTCTGCTATAGGTTCACTGTAGCTACCACCAGTGTAACCACCGAATTCAGAAGAGAATGCAGAAGTGTAATTAAATTTACCAGTCAGTCACTGATAGGGTGACCAGGTGTCCTACTTTATGAAACATTGCACAGCATTTCCATCTTTTCTGCCCCTGTCAGACATCTCTAAAGACTGCCTTTTATCCAGTGGCTGTGAAGAGAGCAGGAAGGGCTGCCATTATGGGCCAAGTCACACTATGCATATTTCAGCAGACACGATGGAAACTACCACAAAGAAAGGGAACTGCAGCTACAACAAAGACTGGAAATATTCTTATCACATGGGTGAAGCTGGTAGAAGGCAATTCTCAGTTTTTGCTTAGCTTTCAGGTGTATTGTATTTACTCAGAAAAGGAGTGTGGAAATTTGAATAAAAATATTAGTATTATTAATTATAATAATATTAATATTAATAAATAAAAGTCCTGTACATGCTAAACATTGGTAACCTGTGTAGTTTTGTGTACTTGTTTTTCATACATAACAACATTTCAGTATACCTCAGCAGACTGAGTCATTAAGCATGTACAATTCTGGAGTGTTCTGGAACAGGTTCATTTCATAGAAAGTGGGAAACAACAATATTCCTGCCTTGTTGTCTCTGGCAAACCTATGTCCTGGTAAGACTAAACTATAATGATTAGCCAAAGTTTAACAGATAAGCCAACAAGCTGCTCAAGGTGATGACAGTCAAAATTAATACATAGACAACAGCTAACTGTACAGCACTGGCTGGACCTTATAACACTCTCCCCCCCTCTAGATGGAGCACGTGCTGCCATAAGCTCCATCTTTTTTTGCTAAGGTAGCTGCAAACGCCTCATACAGTCAGTTACCACCAAAATAAAGTCACTCTCTGGGGAATAGTATATTCTTTTAAATCATTCATCATTATTTTAGTCAGCGTGTTAATTCTACGAAAAGCCTGAAAAAGGTAATATTTGTATTGTCATCGCTAAGCTCTTATTTTTTTCTCCTGACAGAACCCGGGCTTTGTGAGGTGAAACGTACTTCCGGCTTCGTTGTGGCTAACTCTCGCTAACTTGACAGAAAAGCTCTTTGTATGACTGGTCCGCGAGGCACCGCAGCACTGAGCACACGCGCAGCGGCGGCATCAGCAGCAGCAGCAGCAGCATCAGCAGTGGAGGAAAATTCAAACAGAGTCCCAAGCAGGGACAGACAGGGTCCACGACGTCCCCTGTCCGAACCATACACAGGGCTAACGGACGCACTAGAGGAAACGGTGCTTTTTAAAAGCACTACTTCATTTTAACGTTTGTTTTTAACGTGAGAAGTACGTGAACAGGGAACTTTGCTCCCCAGAGCAGCAGTTTTTTGGGCAGGAAAGCCGGTGTGTGGAGAACAGCGTCAGCCTAAAACTTCGCTGCCTCTCACAGCTTGGTTTAAGAATTATTTCACCAGTTAGTTCTGTCTTTGAAAAAGTTGTTTTTTTAGAGTAAGCTCAGGTTTTTGTTAAATCTCTTTAATTTTGAAATTACAAAAGCAAGGAAAGAAACTCGGAAGAGAAGTGGATGTATTTCCAGCCATGGATGTAACAGTTTACCCGCCTCCTCCTCAGTCTCTAGCCGCGCCAGACCACAATAGATTGGGACAGATTTCCTACCCTGACCCGGCCTTTGGGACCAACAAGGTAAGTGGGGGAAAGAAAGCAAACTACCGCACATAGGCTTCTTCTGTTAGCAGATAAAATACACTTTTGTGTTGTCTTATTCTGACTTATTAGTCCCACTCAGCTGTCTCCCCTCTCCGTGTTCATGTTCCGCGCCCTGCCAATTAAGGGGTAATTAATTGGCTTGTTAGGCTCCAGTTAATTATCGTAGTTACTGAAGGTAACTACATTTGAGTGCTTCTTTTTATATTTTTCACTCACTAGAGGGTGCAGAGCCTGTAATTTTATTCCGGCTTTGTCGTCTGTGATGTGATGACACCTATAATTAAAAAGACGCCCACTGGTAATAGAAAGGCCATCGGGTTTAAATATGCTGCATATTTGAAGTCCAAACAGAAGATGTATGTTTGGAATGAAAGAGATAGCAAGCATGAGGGAGGAAAGCAGGAAACCAGGATCTCTTTTTGTAGTATGCTTACAGAGGTGATCTTGTGTAGAATTTGCAGTACTCATTTCTGATTCTATCTTGGTCAAGGTGAATGGAGTTTGGGAAGCAAAGGTCAGGGTTAGATTTACAGTAGAAACCTGGACCTGATAGGGATCCAGGATGGGTGGATGTGGATGCTTAGCTTATAGGTAGATTGCAGTTAAGGACAATCCATCCCCATCCAGTGTATGGGGATGTTTGTCAGAGTAAATTGTCTTGGTTCAATCAAATCATGCCCATTTGACAGTGAAAAATTGCCTAATTATTTAATTAGGTTTAGCTAATGACTGCATCCAGGTGAATTGACTGCTACTATTAACCTTGATTATCCTCTGTCTCAAATAGACTGGTTCATTTTGTAGTTTGGTACTTTTAAATAGAAGTAAAAAAAAATAGTAATAATGAGTTCATTACAAGAAAATACTGACTTTAATGAACTATTAATCAATAAATCATTCTAAGTCAATTGTGCACCTGTAGTTAAGGTGTGTTGAACCCTTTCTCTCTATTTTCTTTTATACTTCAATTTGTTTTATTGACATACCATGCAAACAACAGCAACTGGAAGTTCAAATTAAATACTCATGTCATATGAAATTCTCCTAACAAACCCGTGCAGTAGTTTTCATGATCGGATTAAGGCCTTTTAACATCAAAATATCCATCAGGTCACTGACAAAGCATGTAGGATTAGTGTAAGGGTTGGATTTCATTCTAGCCACAAGCTAAACATGCAAATGTTCAGAAACTAGAAGAACTAAGTTTCCAAAGCAGGTTATATACATTCAAGTTTGCATTTCATTTTTTTCCTGTAGAAACTTTTCAGCTAGTGCTGGAAAAAAGATTGGAGGTTAACCTAACCCAGACTCTACTCGTAATCCTAGATTGGTCGCTAGTAACCTACTTCAGAGGGTAAAATGTAATGCGCACCAGGGGAACCAACAAAGGCAGGCCTGTAGCCTGATGTCATAACTTTTGACTCCACCTTTTCTTTGTTTCCACTGATGAGTTTAACTGAACTCTTTCTCATACGGTTGGGTCTGTGCCATTGCGTCTTTGCCCGACAGTTCAGACCTGATTATTTCCGAAGCTCTGGAACCCCAAAAATGCCACCGTCAGGATAGTTCCTTCATTGTTGGCCACATGAACAACTGGAGACCATCTAATGAAACAGTCACACCAGCTACGGTGCTGTTGAGCTCGCTGACAAGACAGATGTTAGAAAATATTATATATCAGAGAATGACACTTCAAATGGAGAGAACTTACTTACAAATCACAAATTATGGGATGGGGCTGTAAAGTGGAAGTTGATTAAAATCAGTGAGAACCCATATTTCCTTTGGTGAAGCCCATTTTGAGTTCAAGACTTCTTGAGTTGCTTGAAGTGGTTAACCAATGATAGACATATTTAAATTAGTATGCTCATTGTTAAGTTCTTGTTCAATAATAAAATATGCTGATATACGTGTATATGTGCTGGAATAAGAAATATGCTCGGCTGATGGAGTCTGTGTATGCCACCGCTCTGTTTGGATTATGAAGCAGTTTGGTAAAAGTGGGGAGATTATTTCTTGACTCTGACATGACTGTGCTGTGTGATCTCTGATGGTGCATAAATGTAATTTTTCTTTGAATAAAGTACAAAAATAGCAGATTTGGAGAACTTCTAAACTATATGCAGTTTGTAGGTCATGGAGCAGAAGTGATGACAAAGCTGTTGTGACCTCTGACCTTAATCTGTGGTTATTGGGCGTAAGCAGCACATATGTTAGTTATTCCCCCATTTTTTTTTTGATTTATTTATTTGTTACCGTAATGACCAAACTCACTGTGGTGTATACTGGGCTGTGTTTTTAAGCTCATAATCACATCAAGTGTGGAAAGGCCCCATATAGCACTGCGCCATGTTGTTGCTAGTGTGTATTTGTTTCAGAAAGAGGGAAGGAGAGATAGAAGATAAGAGCTCGGAGGATGTGGAGAGAGAGCAAGCCTGTGTGGTTGGGGGTAGGGATTGGAAAGAGAAAGAGAGAGAGAGTTGTTGGGGGTAGGGATGTTGTTGATGAGAGAGAGAGAGAGAATGCGAGTGAGGGAGAGGGAGACGCGCACGCACACACACACACACACACACACACACACACACACACACACACACACACAGGAGGTAGAGTGTGTGTAGTGGGGGTGGGGCCACCAAGGTTTGTACTATATATTTTTTTTCCTCTGTGTCTTGATTCACGGCCCTGTCGGCCTGATAGAAGAGATCATATTACTGCATAGAGAGGCAGAGAAAAACTGAAGAAAAGGGAGAGAGGCCAAAAGTAGGAGAGTTGATTAAACATTAATTCAGTTCTTTTAAAGACGTACTTCTTGGTTGGCTCTGAATCTGAAATGAGTGACTGTTTTCAGGAATTCAACCTCAAATACAGAGCAGTTTTACTTTTCTAAAGTGGCAAAATAAGTCTGATTGCACCCTTTGCTCTTACACCAAAGGGTGTAATGCAGGCCATTTACCATTTACACCCTTAAAATACACTGCATTGAATAGCTTCACGGTGAGGCCCATGCTACTTTTAGCTTGTGAGTCTCTCTGTGTTACTGTCTGTGTCTGTTTGTATATATCTTTGGCAGAATGTGGTCTTAGAATCCTCACTTCATCAACAAATGGATTAAACAAGCTAAATTATCTATCAATCCAAAATAATCCATTCTGATTAGAGCTCTGCATTAAGGCTGCTTTATAGCCAATTCATAACAACCTATTTCTCAAGGTTGAGTATGACAGCTACTGATAATGTAGGGTGTTTAATAAAAAGAAAAATGTTGGTGCAAAAATAATGAGTAGCTTGGTTGTGTGGAGAAATGTAATAAAAAAACAAAAATAAATATAAAGAGATAGTTTACAGCCGAGCCTTCTGGCATGCAATTGGCTGCAAATAAAAAGCTTGAAGAATTGCAAGTAAACTGTGCAGCATGTCTGAATACAGTCAGAATTTTACAGATGTGTTGCTACATGTTAATGGGTGTAAAGTTCTATAAGAGGTTGTTGTCACATAGGGTTGGGTGATTGGACGAATATATCGATAGTTTTTACAAGGGCGATTTATTTCTTTATATACCAGTGAGTAAGTTTGCTAATAATGATGGAGCTAATAGATGCAGTCAACAGAAAAAAAATAGCACTGTATTAACAGCACCCTCTTTCATCTGCGAGCAAATGCACCCTCCTCAGAGTGCCCCCAAATGCTTGTTGTTGGAGCTGCAGAAGCTGGTGATAGCCTAGCATACTCAGGTGGATGGTGGACACGTACGTGCTCATGCAAGCTAGTCGTGTTTGAGTACTTTGCTGGCAAAGTACTCAAACAATTTGTACATCTGCACAAGTGGCATGCCGCTTTGGTTACATCCTTAGGTATACCTCTTTCATCTGGTTTAAAGCCAAAGAAATCCCAAATTGGTGAC